CAATATCAGACCCACAAAATAGCAGCTATTATCAAGACAAAACTGTGTCAACCATCACACTGATATTTGGAAACTAAATTGGCAGTAGCTGGTTAGTATTTCGTTTGTTATTTAACACTTTGAATTATGTGCCCATTGTTCTCCAATTTCTTGTTAACAGTATTTTGGATATTTTTTTCCTCCTCTCTTTTAATAATCACATTTTGCTACGTTATCTTGCCATATAATCAAGGGGGTGGGTGTTTTTTGCTATATAATCGGGGGAGGGGGTGCGCCACCTGAAAAATGTTGGAGACAACTGATCTAGGACAATGATGGCAGGAAGCTGTGTCTGTAGGTAAAGGGGGCCTGTTTTACGGGGATTTCCAAACCGTCTTCGCTGCCTCCCTATAACACTTTTCAACATTGTATCTATTTTTCCCTTTTAAAACAGTTTTAATTTTTATCGCCTAGAAAGATGTAAAGGTGCCACAAAGAAAGTAGAAGAAAAATATTTAATATTGTTAAATGCTATAGCTGAAGAGAATTTTCATAACAAACAGTAGCAATTGAAACGTCTCATCTTTATTGACATTGCAGTGGTCCACACGAAAATGCCCTTTAAGTAAACTTGTATCTCCCGACCACCACCACCACCACCATCATTATCATCATAACCATCACCATCATCAAATTCGCCATCATCACAATAATCATCACCAAGACCACTACTATCATCATTATTATTATCAATATCAGAATCATCATCGTCGTAGTCCTATCCATTATACTGGCTTTTTACAATGTGTACATTACCACAGTATTTTTAAAGTAATGTTTGCGCAGTCACGCAAACACACAGTCACTCACTAACGTATCCCTACAGCGGACTGAGTACGCACATTTCTGCAGGAGATTTAAGGAAGACAAGTATTTGGTCCTAACCTTATTCTTCTTTTTCAGCGATCTCTAGCCTTGCGATTATTCTAATGTGAGCCATAAACTGAGATGTCCTCTTAGGGGATCTTAGGTTTCCCAAAGCTTAGTTGTCAGTTCTATTGAATGTGAGCTTATGATGATTCACAGCTCCGCCAGGAGACGACAGTTTTGTCATACATGCTCCGGAGTCTGTTCAGCACAAGGACACTGATGGAGAGCTATTTGGCTCATACCGAATTCATATGAGTGTTTGTAGAGTCTGCAATGTCCAATTCGTAAGCCAAAAAATTGTGAGTTGGTCTGTTATGTTCAGATGATCTTAATTATAACCTGTCTTTGTTTTCCAGTATGTTTCTGGTTTTCTTTTAATGAGGAATTTAACTTCTAGAAAAGAGAGTGGTTGGTAGAGTTGTGGTTTGCTGCTGCTATCTTTAGCTTGTTCGTTCGTTCGAAGAAAACAAAAAAGATAAGCGTTGTCCTTTTTTAACCGCCTGATGGCCTGTTTCTCAAGGACTGGTTTTTTGCTATCTGAGCTTATGTTTCTTTCTTTTGTGGCGATGATTTTCGCCTGAGTTTTGTTTCATTTGTTGCCTCATGTCAGCAGCGTGGGCTTGGCGGGCGGCTAGCGGTTTTTGGGAGTGGACATGGCAGTCCTGAAAAGGACAGCCATATGTGCCTGGGTGGCCTGGAACGGGTAGGGTGGGAGTGGTCAATCTGTGTTGGTTCTTTAGCTTACTAGTCGCCCGTTTTTTATACTGCCCATCCCAATATGGGACGCAATTTTTCATTAAGGCCCTACCCTGTTTGCAATCGGAGGTCTAATATAACCAAACGGTTAAATGGGGTTTCTGGGACTTGTGAACGGGTGATTCTCATCCGAATGGGGACACTCTGTGTCATCGGGTGTTGGTTTCTCGTTGTAGTCCTAGTGGGGTTAAGCAGCATACACATACATATCTTTAGCTAAAGCGTCACCACTTTCACTGCCTCTGACGCCACACTTCAGGTAGGTTTCTGCATGTTTTGACAACTGGACAAGTTTCTTTGCTAGAGTCTCTAGTGTGCTGTCAGTAATTTCGGTGATTAGAGCCTATGTGTTTGACAGTAAATCTGTGGGATAAAAAAAAACCATCTTGCCCACAGGTTTTTTTTTTCAGCTTCTTCATTACAGTGCTGCCATCAGAGGGTTTAGAGCAAATTGGTCCAGTTGGGGCTGCCATCGACACGATAGTAGCATCTGGGTGTTTAATGTAAACACCTGCTCCGCCATCCCCCACTACCTCTTTTGCTGATCAATCTTTAGGTACAAATGACGTTACACATTTTGTTGTCAAGAGAAAGGGCTGGAGAGAAAAATCGAGAGAAATCATGCACGAGTAAGACCATAGACACACTGTGCTGGAGCAGTGTTTCTGTGATGTTATTGTTACATATTGTTCTTGGTTTGCCTTGTGGTCTACGTTTCTCTTCTAGTTTTACTTACGCCCTGCGGCGCAAGACGCCACAAGGCATTCAAGGCATTCTAAGTTTGCAAACCTATTTTTTTTTTTTTTTTTTTTTGCTGTTGCTGTTAACATAAAATTTAGAATTGGTTCTGCACCAACTTTTTGTCTAATGACCCCATTCCTTTCTGGTCCCTCGTATTCATCTTATTTCCATATGTTACTAATTTTCTTGTCTGGTTTGTTGAGAGTGAAAATGTCTGGCATTTGTAGCATAGAGTAAGAATAATTTATATTAGTATGACTAGCCTAAGCTAATTAAGTACTGGGACAACTATATTCCCTGTTGACACACAAGCAGATACCCTGGTGTACTAAAGTGAATCTTATCAGAACTCTTTTTTTGGCCAACACTATGCTATCAGTGAAAAGCCTGGACACCTACATCCTCAAATGAACGTAAACTTGTGACAACAGAGATAAAATACATTAGAAGAGCTGCAGGGGTTTCAGGAAAAGACAGAATACGAAATCATGAAATCAGACGAATGCTAGGAATAAAGACAGTCTTACAGGTCATCAAAGAACAACAAATGAAGTGGTTTGGACACCTAACAAGAATGCCCTGGTACTATCTGCCACAGTGAGCCACACTAAAACGTTACAACGGGTGTAGAGCGAGCGGAAGACCTAGGAAAATTATAGAGTGATGGCATTAAGAACAGCCTTACAGAAATGAACCTCAGTCATATTAGTGCTCTTGACAGAGCTCATCAACTAATGTTACATCTCCCCCCGACACTTTGATGAGGTACATGGTGTAAGAGAAAAAAAAGAGGTATGATTTTATTAAAATATGCTTTTGGCGGAAATATTCCACTTGTGTCTATTTTATGTCTTAGACAACATATGCAACATTACACCTGTCATATTGATCCTGTAATATTTTACGTTACCAGTTATACGTTAGTTCGACAAGGAGTCTGTTAGGAGGCAGCGATATCTGCACCCTTCGACCCAACACATCGATATAAGCAAATCTTTAAGTACTCGATGGAACCGCCGCGATCTAGCGCCTAGACGAGGATCGGAAGGTCGTGGATTCGGTTTCTGGCGGAGGCCAGACATTTTTTTTTTCAAATGACCTTCGCTCCCAGGTCGACCCAGCCTTGAGTGGGTACCAGTTGCAGACCTAGGAAGTAGAGGTGACCGGCGTGATGCTGACCACATCACCCATCTTGTGCCGATTGGTCTCTTAAAGTATAGGTCTAGCACTATATACCCTATACGCCTAAAGGCGAGGAAAAAGGACTTTTTTGACCAACACAGATTATTTCTAGAAAGCTGGGGGAAAAAACTGGATGTGAAACGACAAGCTCAGAAACAAATGAACACTTCTATCGACGTCTTTGTCAAGAAACAAGACAAGAAGAAATCCCTACACAGCCAAAATGTGCTGAAATTGGTCTGTAACGTAAAATATACAATATGGAACTAAAATTGCGTTCATTCGAGGAGGAAGTTAGAATGTTAGAATTTGATTCATTCATTCAATGAGCAGCTCCGTCATTATATACCACACAGAGCTTGCAGCCTATTTCAACACTCCATTCTATTCAATGGAATCCCTTTGAAATCATGGACTGAATCCAGTCCAGCATCCTTGGCTTCTCTCCTCAACGTTCGCCTTAGGGTTTTACTCCTCGAAGTCCTCGTTTCCTCAGCACCATTTCAGAGCCTATTTGATGATTGTCACTTCATCCGTTTTCAGAATGTGTCCAATGCAGCGCCATCTTTTGCGTCTTATAACTGTTGACACAAGTATAGAATCTGATCTCTAGCGTCTAAAGAATGTTCACATCTGGAGGAAAGATGCAAATTGGGCTTTCCACTGCTAGGTTTGATCACTTGTTCCTGAAAAATCTCACACGCTTCGGAAGTTTACAAATTAGGCAAATTATACTATGATCACTCAGGGTGTAAAAGAAGCAAAATTAACCATTTTGTGGAGGTAATCGAAACTCCAGGTCTGCAGGTTTCCTCCTGCTGGATTCTAAAGATAAAGCCCGCGATGAATGAGATTGTATACTGACGAGCAGGACGTGGCGATTCCTTGGGTGAGTCCAGGACCAGAGCACTCTGTATTGGCTCTGGATTTATTGGTGCCTCCTTGGATGGCGGGAAATGCTCCACCTGCCTTCTCTTGAGAACTGACCAGCTTTGCGTGGGTTCTCCGGACTAGTTGAGTGGGGGGGGGGAGCACCTGTGACCTATAAAACAAAGATGACCACACAATAATGAGACTGCAATGTCCCATAAAACTAGCCGGGAAGGCTGAACCGGACATCAAATGCCAGTTGAAGTCAGATGTGTCGGCCGAAAGGCAGAAGAGTAAGAAGGCTTTGATCACATGTGTTTCCAGAATATAAATATGCGGAGGATATTTGTATATTTGTCTGCAGTCGGAGCGGTATATTTTCTCATTTTGATGCATGTCTTCGAAATGCCGGTCCTAATAGCTTCGAGCTGTCAGATCAAGAATTCAAAGTGTATTTTGATTTCGCTACTTATGCCACCCTCCTTAGGTGCTGCCTGATATGGCTGCCACCCTATATCATAGCGCGGCAGGGTCCTGTCGATCTATACAGTTGATAAACTAAGATCAGAAGAATCTGTAGAATTTGCAGAAGTTGGGGGAGTTTTCTCCTGATGTCCATTTATGTTATTGTTTGTGTGGTCTTTTGTAGTATTATTTGCGACGTACTCGGCTTGTGCATTTGGATTTCTTCTCATTCCTAAAATATGTTTTCGGAAAAGAAACCCTGATATGATCAGACCAGAGGTAACAACCATGCTGACAACAGCTGCAATAATGATATGGGTTTTATCCTTGTCGTCATCGTCATCATCTCTGTGATGATGAAATGGTTCTCTTGAAGAATGCCTAAGACCTTCTGTGCTGTCCCGTGACGTTGCCTCCGTTGATCCATCCTCAACTGGCAGACGTGGTGATGTGTGACGTTCAGGTTTTGAGCTATGTCGGGTATCACCTGTTGCGTTACAACTAATGTTGCACATTTCAATACCATCAGAAATGGGGTCATACAGTAATGATTCCTTAATAGCGCTAAACCGAAACCCTACACATCTTGAACTTGGAGTCGATTCGTTCACAAAACGGAAGTAGTCGGTCCGAACATGGGTTCCACAAAGATTGGAATCGGCTAGCAGTCGCCTGCACACGAGTTGTTGCTTGGAAATGCTTGTATTACAGGAGAAAACATGCGAATACGCTTTCGATATACGAAGCACTTCAGGTTTGTCTACGGTGAGTACCTTCATGTCGTCGACCTCGTTTGGGTGTTTGGCGTCACGTGAAAGATCAGCCGTGCATGACAGAGAATTGATGGTCCTCATGCACACAGAGAACCTGTAGAAATCAGATGAATAATCGATAGTTAACAGTATAAACAAAATGTGTATATCAGTGTATGTATTTTAAGCATAACTTTACTGAGAGGGTCTACATTTAGTGCACTGGATTCCATCAATTACATTAAAAGGATTGCACTGAAAATTAGCACCTCAATTACTGCCATAACATCTTGCTCTGATGATCAAACCAGCTGCCTCTCCTTTCAAAATCACTGCATCCATAGTTTAGCCTTTTCAGTCCTGCAGGGATCAGTATTTAGCACACCTTATTTAAATATTTTTTAGGGGGGGGGGGGTATATTTCTACCCCGTTTTTGTCTCTGCCCTCTTAGCTGTTTTATTTATGCCCGTCATGCCTATGTTTTAACCTATTACATTTCTGGTTTCATGTTAACCTGTACTGTTAAAAATCTCTCTTATCTTGCCTAATGACTTTCCAGTCGCGGGTTGTGTTGTATTTGATATTCCGTTTGTAAAGATTTTAGTCGAAACGTTCGGTTTTATTTCTCAGCGTCCCTTGCACGCCCTTTGTTGAGCTTTCTAGTCAGTGTGTGTTGTCTTTTGTGTGCCCCAGACACTTATTTTGTCAACATCAAGTGGCCTGGAGACCAATGACACCCAACACATCACGATAGTTTACGCAAGACGAAGTGTCATTGACATTCTTACCAATAAATTATGTAGTTGATCGCATGCAACTACCAGTTAATGTATAAACAAATGCGATAGACTTTGAAATAGATAATTGTTCAGTTTTATATATACCCAGCTCGGTTATATGGCCAAGTGATCCTACACTGAATAAGTAATTAACAAGTCCAAATGAGACCGTAGATACGAGAATGTATAGAGGAATATGTGTTTTTTATGGATACAAAAACACATACACAGGTTTTGCATAATTAGTTGCGCTCCCTTTAGACAGAGTGCTAAAATGTTGCGTAGAATCGGTTCTGCTGTACGGCAGCGAATCTTGTAATGTCAGTGAACAAATTAAGAAGAATTGGGAAGCAACAGAGAAGTGGTTTCTGAGACGAATGTTACGAATACTTTGTACGGCCAGAGTAACTAACAACGATTGCTTGAAAGAAGCTAAGTGAGAGTAGATATTTATTTACAACAATAAGAAGAAGACAAACACTGTTCTTTGGCCACATAATGAGAAGAGAGACATTGGAGAACATCGTGACAACTGGAAAGATCAGTGGGAAAAGGGGTAGAGGTAGACCAAGAGAGATGATGCTGGATGGGTTGAAACGAAGGCATGGAGGGATTTCATCAAGGCAACCAGGGATCGTGATCTGTGGAGATACATGAACGCCTACGTCAACTGGCAGAGCACATGATGATAATGGCCCTTTAAAGCAGGTATTTTCAACCTGGGGTGGCGGGGACGGACCCCTAGTGGGTCACACCGAAGTTTCGGGGAGAGAGGAAGGGGCCCAGACCAGTTTTGAAATGGAATGCAATTTTACTTGTAATAATCTGTTATACATTTAAACATTTGTTTTTCCAATGAATTATAAACCAAATATTTTCATAACTATTTATGAAACGAAAAGCCACATACGTTATTTTATCCGACACTTTGATTTATGTGCAATTTAACTTCAATTTTTTTTTTAAAAAGTACATGGGAATTTTTTTTTTAAACCTAATTTTATTGAACTTGATTTTTTTTTTTTTTTTTTTTTGGGTCAACCTCTTTTTATTCAACTTTTTGTTAAGGCGTGGAGAGAGCCTGAGGTTTTGCCAAATATTCGAGGAGGGTCCTACCTGAACAAACAAGTTTTATAACTAATGCTGTGAGAGGGCTTTGCAAACCAACCCGTGCATTTTTAGCTGCTCATATTTCTACTAGGCAAATGTTACGTTCAGTAGTCTGCAAATGCACATGAACGGCTGCTCATGGTTCTACTGGGCACATTTTACGTTCAGTAGTTTGCCATCGCCACTGAACTGTCGACCCTCGATATATCATCGTCATAATCAACGTAAAGGGGATGTTTGGAAAAATCGCTTGCAGCTGTAATCGAACTGGATATCTTGGAATTAAAAGCCGTATTCGCAAGCCCTAGGCCACAGACACAATACTCCTATAAAAAACTATATTAGATGGAAAAGTTTGAGCATGCAGTCAAGAAGTAGTTAACTAGGTTTTGATTCCCGCGGTAGACAATTTAAAAAAAAAAACAGAAAAAAAAACTGTTCTTGTAGTTATCGTTCATAGGACGAGAGTCCCACCTTGGAAGAACCTGAGGCATCCCTGAGTACAACGCCAAAAGACAACAGTGGTAGCCTGAAGCTAACCTTCAATGTGGAGACGGCATATTTTATTTTACATAGAACGCACTTCTGATATAATAAGAAATATATTTCGTCTTTCTCGCATAATTACATTCCATATTTTAACAACGCCAAGACTCGTCATGTTTTGATGTTGCTAGGATAACGTTTACCAAAAAAAGAAGACGTGTGATGATTGGGTTGAAATACCTGTATGTACACTTATGCATTTTTTCGTTGTTGCGAACTTCCTATACTTCTCGTCCTTTTCAGGATGAAATTTTTCGTTATTTCTGGCTCTTGACAGGGCCGCTATATAGCCTGGCCATAAATATGGCCTAAAGGCTGAACGCGGTTTCTGGGACCTCTCCACGGTGATCCTCACTCACGTGGTGGCACTTTGTGTCATCGGGTGTTTATCGCTTATGTGATGTCCTGGTGGAGTAGAAAGTCAGTCAGTCAGTCGTTGTTGCGTGAAACTGAAAAGCTAACATACTTTAAGAAGTCATCTTCGTAGAAGTTGATATGGATCCAGTTGCTATCTCCATCAAACAGCCTTAGGGTTACCGGGGACACGGCAACAGCCGACAGTACAAGTCCCATGGCCACACAGACTGTGACAATGACCCCAAGTGTCATTGTTGCTGGGGATTACATTGTACAAATCAAATAAATGTAACGATTGTATTTCAACATTTATAATATATAAGTATTATTATTTCTAAGTAGTTATGCTATCTGCCTGGCGTTCTGAATTTCGTGTGTTAGTTCCGGACTGTGTCCTTCAGTTCGCTACTTAAATGTTTACATAGTTCCGCGTGGAATTGTTACTACAGCTACGGAGTTAGTGCTTTGTGTGATGCTAGACGGCTAACCATTCTTCGGAGAGATACCATGCCATGCGGATTTAAACCAGGTACACCAAAGCCAAACCTTTAGAATCTAACCATTTGATATCACACTATCTGGCTCTTCTCCCCACCTCCCCCACTCAAATAGAACCGGACCCTTTTCCACTCATTCAGGCGTATTGAGTACATAGGGCTACGCTTATATTTTATAGACCAATCGGCACTCGGTGCGTGATATGGTAAGCATCACGCCAGCCGGCTTAACTTTCCTGGATTATACCTGGTACCCATTTAAGGTCATTTCTGAACCATATAAAAAGTTCCCACTCCGTCAGGACCTGAATCACGACCTTCCGATCCGCAGGCGAGCATATAGCCACTACACCACGATGGCTCCCCGTGCATGTTTCAGGGCTCTAATAAATCTACAGCTATCTAACAAGCAAGTCTAAAAGACGACTAGCTGGGGATTTTCATTCGAAGCAGGAGTTCACCTGAGAGACAAGGAACGAACAGTTTGCATATAAATAAGTCAGGTCTTTAGAACGGATGAGCATGCAAAACTCAGGTCATGAAAAAAGAATCTTCATCTTCTTCTTCTTCTTCTTCTTCTTCTTCTTCTTCTTCTTCTTCTTCTTCTTCTTCTTCTTCTTCTTCTTCTTCTTCTTCTTCTTCTTCTTCTTCTTCTTCTTCTTCTTCTTCTTCTTTTTCTTCTTCTCTTCCACATTGTACATCAGTGAAGTGTTGTGAAGGAGTGGTGGGGGGGGGGGGGGGATTTAACTTCGTTGATGAACTTTGTCAAGTGCACAAGTGTACATATTAATTTCTGTAAGACTGTTCTTAATGCCATCACTATATATTTTCCTATATCTTCAGCTGGCTCTGTACCCGTTGCAACATTTCAGTGTGTCTTGCTGTGTTTGATGATACCAGGGAATTCTTATTAGGTGTCCAAACCACTTCATTTGTTGTTTTTTGATGACCTGAAAGACTGGCTTTTTTTCCTAACATTTGTCAGACTTCGTGATTTCGTATTCTGTCTTTCCTTGAAACTCCTGCAGCTATTCTAAGGCATTTCATCTCTGTTGTCACAGTTTTACGTTTATTGGAGCATGTAACTGTCCACGTTTGGCACTGACAGCATAGTGTTGGCCAGAAAAGAAAAAAAATTCTGATAAGATTCACGTTAGTACTCCAGGGTATCTGCTTGTGTGTCAACAGGGTGGAGATAAAGAAAAAAAAAACAACCGTAATTTTCTGCTGGAGTTTACAGCTAAGACAACATTTTAATTTGTGTATGTACCCGAAAAAAAAAGCAACCAAGAGGTTTTGAAAGAGGCGGGAGCCCGAAGACAACTTATCACAGACATCCGTAGACAGTCATCATTTTTTTGGCCATGTTATTAAAAGAGGGAAAATGGAACATGTTGTGACCACTGGAAAGATCTGTGGATGGAGGGATGGAGGAAGACAACAAGGGAAGATTCTTGACAGTCTTGTTGCATGGCATAAAGGCGTGTCAGCATACAACCTGATACATGCTGCAAGAGATCGCAGATTGTGGAGAGGCATGATCGCCCACCCCAGTCGGCAAGGCACCTGATGATGAAGATGATGATGTTCATATTCTCGCTGTAACCCGTCGCAAGCCCGGATGTAATGGGAGGAGGGTTGGGCTTAAGGCCATCTCCTGCACCCTATTTAAAAAAAAAAAAACTTTGCTAGAGAAACTAAAAATACGTCTATCGTCCTTTTCAGGAAGAAATGTTTTATTTGAAGCCCCACTCTGGCTTTTGCCGGGGGCCGCAATATAGGCAGGCCATAAATATGGCCAATTGTCTGAACGCGGTTTCTGGGACCTCTCTACGGCGATCCTCATCCGCATGGTGGCACTTTGTGTCATCGGGTGTTTATCGCTTGTGTGATGTCCTGGTGGGGTAGAAAGTCAGTTAGTCAGGCTAGAGAAACCCACAGGAAAGGAAGAGGTTTAAGCGACTTTTACTTTATCATTATTATCGTCACCGTGAGTGGCCGTTGTGTAGCGGCTAGTTGCTAGTCTGCAGATCGGAAGGTTGTGGGTTCAGATCCTGACGGATTCGGATTTTTTGTTTTTTTTTCATAGATGACCTTTTCTCCCAGGTCAAATCAGCCTTGAGTAGGTAACAGGTGAAGTCCTGGGAAGTAAAGGCGGCAGGCATGATGCTGACCACATCACCCACCAAGTGCCGATTAGTCTATAAAATGTAGGTCTAGCCCTATATGCCCAGTAGGTTACCCTTACTTATAATCATCACCATTCTACTGTTCCGTTTTATATGTCAAAAAGGGCTAAAAGACTAAACCCACAATATGCTCTATCGGACGCAAATCTTTTCTACATTGTTCTTAGGCGGAATCTTGTCCTGCAGCTTTAGTCTCTCGTGTTTTTTTCTTGATATTCATAATAAACATATCATTAAATGAACATAACATGCTTTACTGATAAAATACAACTACTATGTGAAAGATGGGTGTTTGGAAGGGCCGAATGTAACACGGGCCTGCGTGTCCAATTTGCGACCCTTTGAAAATAAATTTCGTTCGTTCGTTCTCTCATCAATGTTTGCCGCAGATTTTCTCGCTGATGTCCTCGCTTTTCAACCCATTTGTTTCATATTTCAATGATTCCTCACGGCGAAATATACGAAACAATACGTTGTGCAATCTACTGGGTTTTTTTTTTTTTTATTCGTTTAAATTTAAATTTACAGCAATGGGTATGTTTGGTTCAACCCAGGGATGTTTCAGCACATGTTTTAGTATTTTTCCAGGACCGTAACTCAAACCCTATTCGGCCCGGCCAGCATGATTGAATTCAAACGTTTCGTTTGAAGTTGAAGGGAATATGTTTAATGGGCAAGACACCAACAGTCTGCATAAAATAAGCCACAACTGTAAAATGGATGTTTATTCAACACTCTAGTCCTGGGAGAAAGACTAAAGTCTAGTCAAGGACAAACAATCAGAGTTTTCCCCCGAAGTTTACAGCCAGTTGGCAAAGAAAAAGTACCGACTGAAATCCTTCTCTTTCAACCGCTCTGAACTATAGGGCAAAGTGTTGGTGGTTTATCTGCTTCTGGACTTTGGTCTTGTTTCAAAGCCTAAGTTTTGTGTGCACGTCCTTTTTACAGATTTGGTATGTTTTATGCAGACTGTTGGTTCCTCTTATCTCCGCCAGATTCGAAGGAAACATTCCTAACTAGTCTACTTTTTCCAACAAGGCATTATGTCGACTCCCCTCCGGCTCACCAATGGCACCCACAACCCACCAGGGGGATGGTTTAAATTTCAGTCTGATCATCAATAATACGGTTCCTTTAGATTTCCTCCAGGCCAAGCCGGTGTGTTGGGAAATGAGCAGGCAGATAGACATACCGGCTCTGTGCCACTTGGTAGTGAATTGATGTATGACAAGCTAAATATTGTGAGGGCCTTTTGGGAACGAGTAAACAGTGGCAGATAGATCACTACTGTCTGAGGAGAATGGCGCTGCGAGGAGTTCCCAAGGTATCTGGCCGACACTCAACACTTAAGGAAAGGATGAGACGGATATACAGTGAGACGGTTACCGGTACCATTGGAATTGCAACTCTTCGCTTGCTGCTGAAGATTGGGGCGGAGCCCTTATGAGAGTGTTTCGAGTGCTGTGATGTGAATTCTCATTTCAACATTCAAAATTCAGATTTCCGGATTACGGTAATGAATGAAACTCTAGGGCTCTATTTTATTTAGTTGAATTACATTTTTGAGTACGTTTCTTTTTAACTAAATTTCGAAGAACTGTTTTATTCACTTCAACAAAAATTATGTATAACTGTTTTATTTAGGAGGTGAACATTAAAATCTGATTTGCTTTTCACTTGTTAGTTAATTATATGAACAACAAATGAAGTGGTTTGGACACCTAACAAGAATGCCCTGATGCTACCTGCCGAGGCGAGCCACACTAAAACGTTACAACGGGTATAGAGCGAGTGGAAGACCTCGGACAATATGGAGTGATGGCATTAAGAACAGCCTTACAGAAATGAACATCAGTCTTAAAAGTGCTCTTGACTGAGCCCATCAACAAACATTACATCTCCCCCCGACACTTCGATGAGGTACAAGGTGGAGGAGAAGAAGAAGAAGAAGAAGAAGTTAATTGTATTTCTTTACAGTATGGTATTTGTGGTAATTTTCTGTTAAATGTTTACAGCATCTTCGTTAACTGACCCGCTGTGTCATTATATGTTTCTTAGGGTTGGAAGTCTATTTCTCCATTTCGTTCCATTCTGTGCAGTATGTTGGATAGCATGGACGGAATTACTTCCATGGCAGCAAATTTAACCATTAAAAAACTCAGACATTTTTCCAAATCCAGCAGCCCTGTAATTTCAAGAAAGCCTGGAGATATACTGAAAATATAGGTATCTGTACATATTTAATACATACCAATTCCGTGCTTGTGTCACAGCTCGCTGCTATCATTCCGTCTAGAATCCTACCCCGAGATACCACTCCCCAGCTGTATCATCACTAGTCGGTGAATGATACCTTTTACACCAGACAAAACCCATTAATTTATCACAAGTGATACGAACCTTTTGTGTGCTCCACTGTACCTAGACTCAAAACTAGGACGCTAGCTCTGAGATAAGGTATACTACAGTGGCGAAGATACAAAGAATACAATGTGGGGTGGGGAAAACCCCTTTATAATACTTTAGAAGAGGAAAAGGGCCTCAAAGGGCGCTCGAATTGCCCCAG